GTCCATGTGCGGCAAGCTATTTTTTTCATCTTCGGTTTGGCCATCATCAAATGTCAAAACTGTAGTGAATAAGCTGGTTCCGCGACAAGTTGAACATAATTACCTAGCTATATACTATACTATTCTACATATTTATTCAAAATTGCTAATATTCTAATAAACCTATTAAATCTTTTAAAAGTATTGCTTTTATATTTAAAAAGAAACTAATTATTTTTCGGCAAACATTAAAACACTTTAAAGAATTAATAATTAATATAATTAATAACTTTAAGGATATATTTTATAGAGCACAATAATTTATTTTTTTATCTTAAATTTATATTTATAAAAAAGTCAACACTGTGCATTCTGTTGAAATCCTAACATTTTTGTATTTGTTTTTATATTTCAAATGTCAAGAGATAGATAGATAGAGAGAGAGAGAGAAAAAGAGATTACATACTAGCGTGTTTTTAGAAAAACGAAGATAAAAAAAGATAAAAATTATTAAATATTTGTTTTTTCTCTTCATGATAGAGCGATATACGTTTTGTAATTTAAATTGCATAGATAACTATTGACTTCTAAATATTTAATAAAATCTTATTTCGAAAAGGAGCAACATTTAGAAGCATTAATAAATGCTATGTTAAATAATCGAGATGCCATACTAAAAAAAAAACGTAAAGTTTCATATCAGGAGACGCGGTATAGTGTGTGTCTGGCCATGTTAAAAAACTGAAAGAGAAGTCTCTTATCTGGAGCTGGGAACAACATTATGAGTGTGAGCCTAGTTAACGTACAAAATTAAATACATGTACGAAAGGTGGACTGTATCAATAAATAACGTTGATTTTACATTTTTCTATTTTATGATTTTTTATTTACGTCTCTCCACCCTTTGTTCGCATGCAGTATCAATAACGTAGAACGATGTGAATAAAAATGAATATTAAGGACGATATAAGTAAAATAAGAAATTATTAATTTTCCCTTTACCAATAATTAGTAATTGCTAATTACTACAATAAATTAATTCTTCTTTAAGGAACCTGAGTAATCGCTGCGACTACATTGGACTGTGACGTCATAAACAAAATAATAATACATTAAAGTTTCTGGTAGGCCTTTTGTAAATAAAGAAAATTTAGGTAAAACAAAATAATAAGATCATCTGTAAAAAGTGGGTCAAAGCTGTACCTCTTGTCAGCCAGTAAATAATCATAAAAAGCATGTAAAATGCGTTTACTAGCGTTTATTCATAACTTTACCAATAATTAGTAATTGTTAATTACTACAATAAATTAATTCTTCTTTAAGTAATCGCTGCGACTACATTGGATTGTGACGTCATAAACAAATAATAATACATTAAAGTTTCTGGTATGCCTTTTGTAAATAAAGAAAATTTACTCCTCTTGTCAGCCAGTAAATAATCATAAAAAGCATGTAAAATGCGTTTACTAGCGTTTATTTATTGTGCATGCATAGCCATTTCTATTTCGATCAATTGTTTGTCTTTGTCTGTCTAATGGACCGATAACAAAGAGGTTATATAATTTCTTTGACCGATAATCATGGACATAGGGAAGATTCGAACCAAAATAATCATAGATATAGGGAAGATTCGAACCAAAAATCGTGGACATTACCGACACGATCGTGGACATTGGCTACATAGTTCAATGTCCACGTTTTGTGGACATAGAGGCGCTTCAAAATAATAAAGTTTGTAGCCAGGAAGTAAGATATAAGGAGACTCCACTCCGTAAAATAAAAGTGGACCCATTTTAGGTTTCGAGTTCAGTTTCTCTTACTCGCACTCATTATGCGCAGCACTACTAAATTCACGAGCGCTGCGAGTGTCAAGAATCGGAAACTGAACTCGAAACCTAAAATGGGTCCATGTTTTGTAGACTGGCGAGACTGAATGGAGTCTCCTTATATCTTCCTTCATGTTTGTAGCTAAATCCCGGGCATGGCCGCACCAGAGAGGGTTTCTCTTTGGCCGTACTCAGGCTTCTCTCTGGTAATATAATTCGTCGTTTCCACTCCGATTTTTCTGTAATTTTAGAAATTTGTGTATTTTTATGCATATATATATATATAGAATATATTTTCAGAAGAGAAAATTTGTCACTCAATCTCGTTGTTTTTTTTTTTAAGTTTTTGATATCGGTGTAAGTTAGAAAATGATAATTTTAAGATAATTCTCTGCTAATATATATTATATATGCATATTTTCTGTTTTAATTAATTAAAAACACTAATTATTTTCTTATAAAATCTAAATTAAAACAGAGAATAGTTTGTGATTCAAAATTATTATAATTTCAAAGCTTATATCCTTTTTATTATTTTTTTATGGACATCAATAAAAACAATCTTGAAAAAGAGAATTCTATATATGAGCAGCCGAGCAGGTAGTTTTCTATTAACAATCATGTCAATAATACAGGTTCCTATTATATCGAGCATGCGACCGTCACGTGCGGTGCATCACGTGTACGAGAATGCGGACCACGGATCTGTAAATAGAATAGAGGTTACGGGAAGAAATAGGACGGAGCCAAAAGAAAAGGGTCGTTCCCCTTTTTTTCCTCGTCGGAGCGAACAATAATAGACTCGGTCACGGACAAGTCTCTCTCACGATCTCTCGTAGGTCGCCATGTGGGTGGAACTTTTCAATTGAAAACTCAAATCTGGCATTTTGTACCATCAATCATTTTCTACCAGCGAGAACGTTTTGTAGAATTTATATTTAACAAATAGAACTTTCATATTTCCGAATTATTGTGGACTTAATCAAAAAGTGTTATATCACATTTTATCTTTTTAATGTATATTACATATAACAGTATATTTTATTATAATATTTTTTTCTATTTTTGGAGAAAATTATAGGTTGATTTTCTCTCAGAGCAGCTATTCATATTCCTTTCTCCTATAATACAATGAATTAATTATGAATACTATATATTGTGATCAGAAAATATCATGTGAGATATAATACACTAATACAGCTTCTCCAAAATAATTCATTTAAAAAAACTCACTATTATTATTTAATATTTGCGACCTTCTCGTGTGCTTTCAAATGGCAAAATACTTAACACGATGAAAAAAACTACGATACTTAGCTAACTACGAGACATGTGCTGGTCCAGCAGGAAAAGCAAAATGTAAGAATTCCGGGAAACCTAAGAAAACGAAGATAGAGACATGGCGGTGTGCCTTGTTATAGACGCCGCTGCATTATGCGGTATAACGCGATTAACACAGTGGGGATAAAATCCCGAAATATCATTTCGAGAACAGAAAACTAGAGATGAGACATTGCACCGGTCGTCGTCACCGGCGAATATCGCGTCCAAGCACACGGAAACAAGTTCTTGGTCTCAACCTCCATTTGGAAACGTATGGTAAGGACACTCTTCGTTGCCCTGCTTCCTTCTTTTCATTCATCGATTCGTGGTCATCTGTCAATAGAACAGGATGCAATTTTTTAATAGGCTCTTTCCACTACACAGTCTATAATACTATTGTAATCATACACACACACACACGTGTACTCACAGCTGCATTGTACTTGAGTTATATTTATAGATATGTATATGAAACAGTGTATATATATATATATATATATCATATTTATGCAGCTAGATTAAAAAAAAAGGAGAAATGCACTATATTTGTAGATTCATAGATTATCATTGTATTGCTGTATTGCAAGCTTGTGTAGTTCATTTTCGTGCTAGAGTGTATTTTTAGATATGACAGGTGGGTATATGTGTGTCAAACAAGATGTGATTAAGAAGAATCAAGTGATATACAATTTATACTTGATTAAAGTTTATCGGATTTTGCATACAATACAGTTAATTTAATCTAAAAAAAGATATATCCACACACATTTTTGTAGATTTTACAATATTTTTAAGAATGATAAAGGCTGTAAGATATATGGGTATAAATAACAAGCGAATTTTATGTATTTTTGTAAGAGAAAATATAAAAAGTTAAAAATATAAAGACATAGAAAACTCTAGAAGTAGAAACTATATGATCATATTTATATAATTAAATGGAATAGTTTGAATAAAAGATTTAGGATAATTATATGCACGAAAAAAAGTAATAATATTTAAAATATACATTATTGCTAGTAATTGTAATATATATTATTATTAGAAATATATAGTGTGTGTGTATATATATGCGTGTATTACTAGATGTATAGCAATATATATTTAAAGATATCTTTCAACATTTTTTACAAATCCAACAATAATCTAATTAATCCGAAGCATCTAACATGATGTTTAATTTTGGTTGCAGGCAAGATATGATGGAAAACGACATTAAGTATGTAGTGATACCTCTTCATCATCGGCCTGACTTGGTTAAAGACTGTTGTAAGTTGCTTAATTCTGAATGGCCTCGAAGTGAAACTGCACGGTGTGTTATTTTTTTATCCTTGGTTTCAAAGATTACCTAAGAACATAGTGAGGATATGTCAATAGAACTAATTTTCATATTGTTACATTGCAGAATGAAATCTCTAAGTGTGTCTTGTGACGATTTTCCCACATGTCTAGTTCTAATTAATGGCGAAAACAAGGTTCTTGGGCACTGCAAAATATCTCTAGTGGCTAGATCGAAAGTTAGCTGTTTCATAGAGTCTGGTATGAAAAACTTGTAATAATTTGCTTTAATGCATGTAGAACAATAGAATTAACAAGTAGATTAATTTAAAACATACATTAATAATTATAAAAAGTATTAAAAGTAAATCATAATACTGCATATCTGCAATATTTCAGTTGTAATCGACTATCGATATAGATCTCAAGGATTAGGATCTAGACTGTTGCGTGGCGTGGAGGAGTATGTCGCAAAAAGAGGCCTAAAAAACATCTACCTAAAAACAGACGGCCAGGAGGTGTTTTACTATAAGAACGGATACAAGGTGTGCGATCCATTTAAAGCGTATGGCATTAATGACATCATAACTGTCAGTCCACCCCTTGGTAGGACTAGATTTAAAGAGCAAAATGGCGATCAATCCGCTGGACAATTACCACCGCCGCCTCCGCCACCCCCCATGCCGGCATTTCAATTGTCAAAGTTTTTTGACATGCGAATGTTGTCTCGAAAAACACACATGGTCAAGAAATTGTGATACTAGTATTAAATTTCAGAGTGCGTTCTATTCACACTGAAAAAACAACGAGATTTTACAATTGAAATTAGATACTTAAAGAAAAATTAATTCAATTTGATTTAAATAGAACAAAATGCGAGAAGGATATACAATTTAGCACATTACAGCTTAACGAAGAACTTGAATTCTTCTATTTAGAAAATCATACATTAGTCGTAAATAATTTTTTGAAACATGAAATTATTCATTTGAAACCATTCGCAAATAAATGTGCATTTGTCTTTTCAGCTCGATCGAGTGACGCGAACGAAGTATTATATACTTCAAATTTTAGACTTATATTCTTGAATCTATATAGGAAAATCTATAATATGTACATAACGTGTACTGTAGTATTATTGTAGGCGATATTTTTCGAGAATTGTTTCTGTTCTTATTATAAGTTACAAAGTAGAGAGTGCCGTATAGGCTTATTTTTCTAACTTTATATTTATAATTTTAATTTATATAAAGGATCGACAGATAGATTCATCCTTAGCTTTTAGCACGATTTCTCTCACTCAGATTACATTTCTATTGTAAATATTCTTTTTTTGTTCGTTGTATTCCAACGACAGAATACGATGCGCTTAATTACGCTCGCTCTTTCTCCATCCAACACATACAATTCGAGCCATAACTTATCAAACGTGATAACGATTTACATAAATATATATATATTTATTTTTTCACTAGAAAAAATACATGCATCTTTTATTATTTTTATATCCCTGCCATTTCTCGCATTATAATACGGTCGCGATGCCGCAGACCTTTTGGTAATAATCAGGATTCTCAAGACATTCGACAAGAAACGCACCCAGGTCATGTTTGGAGATTACTCGTCCAGGTGAAGAATCAAATGTGACATTGTATTTGGACTTTGGTGTCTCTAAAGAGAAAAACAATATTTTTGAGATTTTTCAAAATTATCACATGCTTATCTCTCATTATCTAGATATACCTGCAATGTGCGGCGGCAATATCGCCACCCATTTTAAACCACTCGATTTAATCAGATTGAACATGCGCTGATGATCTTCAGTTACACTTCTAAATATAGCAGGCACTGCTTCAAGTTTGAGGAATAAAAACGCTGAAAATTCAAGCAATAATGAACATTAAAAAAGGGAGCATCTACAATAAAATTGAATATTTAAAGAAGTCTCAAATAGCAAGAAGCGTCAAAAGGATATTTTCTTCATTAGTAAAATTATATACAATAATGTATATTTATATTAGGTCTGTTCTTTGTGATAGAAGTAGTGTACATTTGTACTCTTAAAATGAAAGATATATATATATTAAAGTATGGCAAAAGCGAGATAGAAAGTTTTAGTGCAGTCTATAGTGCAATAAAAAATAAGCCTTATAATAATTGATAGTTTCGGCAGGTATACTTAATATCTATTTTTACAACATTATAATACCTGATAGACATACAGACACCAGTTCAACATTATGTGCTTTCATGGCTTCTATTATATTCTTCATGCCTTGAGACATTACAGTAGTAGGACCTTAAAACAGCGTAAAATGAATAAATGAACTTATCATTATAAAACACGAAAAAAAATGTATACACACATTGTATACATATCTATTAGAAAACATATGTGCTATTTACTCAAGTCTGTTCTGGTACCGAGTACTACCACAACAGCATCTCTACCAGCTATCGCATTTGAAACTTCCTTCGCATTAATAACATCTCCAACAATTAGTTCAACTTTACTTCTAAGATCCTCAGGAACTTTGTTTTTGTCTCTTACGAAAGCTCTCACCTCCAAACCTAAATGATAGAAATAATTGAGAAAATATCTATATAATATTTGACTTGAATATCACAGATAAAAAAAATTAATCTATCATACACATGAAATTATAAAATCATATAAGTATACAATAATTACATATCACAAGCACATTTTGATATAGAAGGAAATTAAAATTTTATCATTTTATGGAGTTCAATTTTTAATTAGAAAAACTAGATCTATAAAATAAATCTATATAACTCATAATTTATAAATTTTAAATTATTTATAATTACTTTTCTCTACATTGTCATCTTGAGTACACAATAATTTACATGTAGAGTATATATTTTAACATAGGAGGAAATATATTAATTACATTATTTTATGGATTCCGACTTTTAATTATAAAAAATAGATCTAAAATAAATCTATATAACTCATAATTATATATATTCTAAATTATTTATGACTATTGATCTCTTAAATGATTTAAATTGTCATCTCGAGTGACAGAACAAGGAACTTTTGGGCTATAACATATATAGGTTCGTTCTTTGTAGCTGAACTTTTTGTACTTTCCATTCTTCCTTCTTTTCTGTCTAACGTCTAATTATATATTTGCCCCGTTTCGAGTGCGAAAGGTGTAACGTGGTGCAACTGTGAAGAGCACGCGACACATTGTTGATTGGAAAAATATACGTAATACAATGATAGCGCAGATAAGCAGCAGTTACCATTTTCCACGGCGGTCCTTAAAGAACAGAGACCGGTGTTCCCAGTGCCGCCAAATATCACGATTCGCTTCTTCATCTTGCGCTGAGCTGGCTGAGTCCGTGATGCACGTTATCATGAGACTGCGCGATTATATCTGCCTTGTGAGGATGACGCATCATTTTTCTTTTTCTTTAACTAGCGCTACGAAGAGAATTAACGATGCGACATGCGTCGCCAGTACCGTCGAGAGTACCGGTTGCACTGATAATACATGACATATTAATAGATTTCCTCTAGTGACACCATTTATTCATTTACAATATTATACATGCCTATTATATAAGAAGACAATTATGTATTCTTACATCATTTTAGTAATTATTGATTATTCTACAATCTACAAAATATGCTTTTTATTTCCTGTTTCTTTCTTTTTACCTCTTACTTTTTTCCTCTTTTTAATCGTTTTATCAACAATTGTATTTCTTGCTATATATATATATATTTTTTTTTTTCCTCTGTTTCTTCCGAAGTTCGTTAACTTTTTATCTGTCGTGCAATAGAAAACGAAAAAGGGATAAGAAGCAAAAAGACAAGATGTAAAAAATAGCAAAAAACCAAGAAACGGGAAACAAAAAGCACCAGTGTAGAATAGGTTTTAATGTTTTAAATATATGTTATCTCTTTCAGAGATATATGTTTAGCACGATGCGAAAATGGAATATAATTAACGAAAACATATATTAGACGCCTAAAATGTATATTCTATTATAATATATATTATAGAAAGTATATACTTTTCCAGTATCTGAAAAGTAAAAATTTTGGATTCGGCAATGACTGCATGAATTCATTTCTATTTCAATTTCTTTGGAATTAAAATAGATTTAAAAAAGAGAAAAAAAGACAATAAAAAAAACTTGTCAATTTTAAGTTAATAGTCGCCGACAGTTGACTATAGTCGTACAATCGATTGAAAGGCCGCGTTCAGGAGAATGTTTATTTTACAATTGTTGAAAGTTTTCTTTAATCTGATGGGATTATACTTTTAGATTTAAAAGAAAACTTCCAACAGTTTTTAAATAAACTCTATTAAACACAACCATAATAATAGTTTCCCAAGAAATACACCAAATCAAAAGAAAATCAATATGACGTATCTTGACGTCAAGTGATGATTTTTAATTATTATAAAATTTGACTGTTTATTGATTTTAAGCATGAAAATAAAGCCATTTTGATTTTATTTTGGTTTTTTGTTAATTTTTATGTATTCTTTGGGATACATATTGTATTATACTAATTAATGCAAGATCGAAAAGTACAAATTTATAGGTTGCATTCCGTTATTTAGTGTAAAGTATTAAAAATCTATATAGTGCACATTACGTATAGATTTTAGTGTACATCGAAACACGGATATAGTTGTCTAAGTTAACTTAGGATGCTGTTCTATGACAGTCGGAATTTCAGAAACATTATACGATCAATCAGATTACCGCGATACACGAAAGTGACAAACTTATAAATAATTCTAATTAGTTATATTACTTCTCCAAAATTGGGATTGTCATGGAGAAGCACCCTTATAATTAATTTTTAAAAGTAAAAATTATTGTCGACCAATTAGTCGACTGTTGTCCTGTAACAGTCAACTTTTTACAGTTGACTTTACGCCAACTGAGAAAAGTGGTCTGTAAGTCGATAAATATAATATATAATTATATTAAATATAATATATATAATTAAATAAAGTTAAATATAATATATAATTATATATTAAAGTCTCTCTTTTAGAAAACCAACGATATTAAGTCGGTCAATTTCAATGAACTTTCTATAGTATATTAAAGCCATCAGGGTTATTTTCAGATTCCCGGCCACCCACGTATCATTTTATCCTTTATTTTCCGAATGTTAAATAAGAATAAGATAATCATTATAAATAAAAATGACACAATCCCCGGGAGTACACGGGCCTGAACATATCCTAAGGAGCAAGGATGTTTCAATTATTAGAAAATGGCCGATATTCGAAGTCAATTCTTAAATTTGAGACTGTTTTAAGTATAGCCTTAAGATGTCATAACTTGCCAATTAGAGGACCGTATCAGCATCTTAAGACATTACTTAAGACAGTCTTAAAATAAGAACCGACTATAAATATCGGCTAATGACATTTTGATGCAAAAACTGTATTGTATCTTCCTTTATCGTTTATTAAACATAAGAATAGATACAATAGTGCTATATATACTAAGTATAATACAGTAAGTTTATAAATTTTCCACGTTTTTCTTTAATCACTATATGCGAGCATCGCGCTTTAACGTAATAACTTAGTGAGCTTATCTAAATTAATCTGTTACAGACTTTATAAAAAAATACATTAGCGTTTTTTAAGAGATAAGAAAATTTTAAAAAGAAAAAAATTCATAAAATTTAAAAGTAACTACATTAGCTTAAAAATTAATTCATCTAAACTTATATAACTTAAGCAAAATATATTATTAACTTCTTTTTACTTTCATTTAACTTGTTATATAAATAATTACTACCCAATCTCGCATATATTGTTTAATCTATTATTTAGATGTAAAAGGACTTTTAGCATACATAATATGCCCACCTCCATCTACAGGCAATGTCACTCCTGTTATAAAACTAGCATTGTCACTTGCTAAAAATGTAATAGCCTTTGTAACTTCCAAAGCATCACCGTTTCTTCCTAAAGCATGTACTCCTTCCAACTGCTCATAAAGGCTTTTTAACTGCTCTTGGTTCATTCCAGAATTCCGAAAGATGTTTGTTATTACAACACCAGGATTTACGGTATTCACTCGCACCTATTTTTACATTTTAAAATAATATGAGGTGAAATAATATTAAAAAATGCCATTATTGAAAAAGAAGAAACAGTCATTATTTTTACACGAACCTGTCGCGATGCTAATTCTAAAGCAATGCAACGCGTAAATTGATCTAGAGCTGCTTTACTCATACTATATGACAGAACACCCTTTCCTGGTCGTAATCCGGCTAAGCTAGAAACGTTTACAATGTTGCCTTTTGTTTTGATTAAATGTGGCACTGCTAGTGCTGTCAATTGGAATACCGAGCGAACGTTTACATTCATAATACTGAAAACAGATTTACGTTGAAAATACGTTTTTTAATGTGTTTTCAAAGTAGAAAGAATATCATTTTTATCAACATCCATACATGTTTAAACATATCAACAAGTTACTTATCAGTAAGTATACATACTTGTCGTATTGTTCCAAGCTTGAGGTTTCTATAGTGCCAATATCAACAATTCCAGCGTTATTAATTAAAACATCTAATTTACCATAGTGTTTGATTGTCGAATTGATAATATTTTTCACATCGTTCTCATTGGCTAGATCTCCCGATACAATGAAAGGTTTGGATTTTCCACATTGTTCAGCTACTTTATCTAAATTGTGCTTATTACGTCCTGTTATTGACAGCGAAGCACCAAGCTGAGCTAGATAAATAGCTGTTTCAGCTCCAATTCCTGAACTAGCCCCTGTTATCAGAACAACTTTTCCCGTAAAGGACATCTAAAATAGATAACATTTTTCAGACTGGATGCATCTAGTATTTCTCATGTATTTCTGTTTATCAAGCGACAATATATATTATAGTAGTAGTAGAATGTTATCGATTCTTTTATATCAATTATATTAAATTGTTATATTACGGAAATAGCACTTACACACAGACGATTACGTGTAAGGGAATCCTACAAGTCGTCTGTATTACCAACTAAATCATATACACTTTATATTACAATTACTTTTTTCCTTCTTTACTAATTTAAAAAATTCTTTTTCAAGATTAAAGTACTAATACGTACTAATGCATATCTGCGAAGTGGAGTCTATGCCGAAAACGATAAAAAATTCAAAATTATGTTCTTCTTTATCATTTCTTTATACAACATAGCACTCCAGAGCTATCACATCGATTCACGTCGTAACCACATTTGCTTCATATAAAAAAGCTATATAATCTGTACTTACGAAATAATAGTCCACAGACTAGTAGTTTGTATGAACAAACAGTGTGAAATTCTTAAAATTAGACTTAGATGTCTAATTAAAACGTAATTATTATACGAACATTTATGTATATGTGTATGTAGCGTCCGTGAATAAGATAATAGTGATGCGTATTAATGACACGTAATCGTCTGTGTGTAAGTGCTGTAATATGACTAATCATTTTGTAAAACAATGTGGTTTATATTTAAAAAAAATATAAATACTTACTGTAATAGTACAACGAGAGATGTGTTGAATGAAAGAGAGATACTTATAAAATGATACAGTTTAAATAATTTCGAAAGATACAAAATACAACATCCCGCTTGCGATAGCGAAGTGCTATAACGAAGTGCCGTAACACATTGATGTTAAGCAAATGTTATAGGATAACACCGGTTTATATACTAATTTAATCCCTACTCTTCCATAGAAGAGTGTACATTAGCTAACGCTATTCATGGTGTAAAGTTCGTTCGTGTAGTCATACCTTTTTGTAATGAATTACGAAACGTTTTTTTGCTGTTAAATGCGTTTTTATCATTTATATCCTTGCTTATAATTAATAATAATATTAATAATTATAATTGAATCTAAAAAGGCTAAAAAGAGCAATGGCATAGTTAATAAGCGTAATAAAAAATTCTTAAACGTATTTTTTTTAATATCTACACGAAAAAAGATATCAATCTATTTCTAAAAAGAATTATTACACAATTTCTTTTCTTCTTCTTAAGTAACTGCTATCTTTAACAAGATTATTTTATTTTCTTGATAATAATCTTAAAATATCAGGAGACGCGGTAGTGTCTCCGGCCATGTTCAAAAACTGAAAGACACTATAAGTCCTTTATCCCGAGCCACCAAAGTCCATTTTTCGGTATACTTATTACAAAATTTTATATATATAGAGAAAAACTTATTATTATATACTCAAAACAAAAATTAATTTTCTTTTGAAGAATATTATAAAACAACTTTCAGCCGATTTTCGAAACGCTTCCGCCTTCCGCTGTCTTCCTCACCTCACTTCACCGCGCGCGGTCCAAATGCCGCACGATGCTCGAGCGATCTCGATTGATCTGCGCGCGGGGCGAAAAGCGGAGGCGAATCGAAAATCGGCCGAAAGTTGCATACACTTTATGTTCACTTTGTTATACTGGCACCTTTAATTAATAATGTATCAGTTACTTTTTATGATAATATATTATTATTAGATAAAAAGGTTTAAATTTTTGAGTATCCTTTTTTGAACATGGCTTTAACTTATCATTTTTATGATATGATTTTTTTCGGATATCATTTACTTTTTAGAGTACAAATATATTACAAATATATAAAAAAACTTGAATGTGGACAGAGAAGAAGAAGAAGGAGAAGGAGATGGAGGAGACGTTTCTTATAATTTTTTATAAAAATCACCACTTATCGACCGATTGTATCTGTAGAATGGCTTGACCGATTAAAAATTTTTTGATTTAAATTACTCGTGGCGATGCCGCCTTTCAGGACATATAACGTCCAATTCAAAGTTTTTTATATTTTAGTAGTTATACACCCCCTAAAAATGGACTTTGGTGGCTCGGGATAAGAGATTTGTAGTGTCTTTCAGTTTTTGAACGTGGCCGGAGACATTACCGTGTCTCCTGATTAATCGAAGAAACGAACGTTTCATAGTAATAAGCAAATCGAATTTGTTTTAATTAAATAAACTTAATTGAAGTATTAAAAATTTACTAAAGGATTCGAAATATATTTTCAATAATACTTGAATTTATGATAAATTTGCGGATGAACTTTTGAAGTACTTAAAATAAGTAACTATTACTTATGCAGTGTGTAATCGTTATTTTTCTGTATGTATAATAAAATTGTTTATTTAATTTGTTTGACATAAAATAATAGACTAAAAAGACAAATTAAGAGTCATAACATTAAAATTTTTAATCGCGTAGAGTTAAAAAATAAAAGGGGAAACAATAAATTCGAAGACACAAAAAATATATATATAACAGGAATAGACGTTTACAATAAAATATAACCGCGTAAATCTTCAAATCTTCAAAACTTGACATGTTTCGACTCGTGGATTGAGTCTTCTTCAGAAGTACAGCCAAAAACCGTAGTGCAGTTAACACGAATCATTGATATTCAAAGATGAATCCATTTTCAAAGCAAGAAATATAAATGTTTCCATCATATTCGATGCTGAAAAAATTGCAACATGCTACTGATTTTATCTATAATAAGCGTAATTAAAAGCGGCATGCTATACTTAGTATGTCAGTCTATCTGACATTTGTATTTATTAACTACTCGAGGTAACATTTAGATAATATTACTGCCTTGTTTTAACAGAGATATTATAGTGTGTCCCTTGATAAACCGCTATATCGAAGTTCTTATTTTAAGATCGTCTTAATAATAAACAATATCTTACAAAATACTAATATACGACTTGTCTCAAATTTCATGGCGCAAAATACTATAGAAGGAAAATTCACAAAAAATTATGTGTAAATTTATATTTTAAGAATATTTTATAAATAATAAAAGTATGAATATGGCCACTACAGTTGCAGAGATATGTTTAAATGATTATATCTGTCTTGAGTCGCGTGAGTAATAGTATTAAATTTAAAAAAAAGGGAATTGCTGAATGCACACTTCAGCGCTTTCTTTAATGCAAGGTCTACAATATATGGTCACGAACTGGTTTTAGGCTGAGTTTCCACTGAGCGCGTCAGGCGTCGCGTCGTTGAAAAAGAGAAAGAGAGAAGTTGTGTGTGTGTGTGTATATATATATATATAAAATATATAAACTTCTCTCTTTCACGATGCGACGCATGACGCGCTTAATGGAAACTCAGCTTTAAAATTGCAGGAGCGATTGCGATATGCAATTAGAAATAAAAATTATTGGGCTCCTGATTGGCTGTTGCAATTATTCTTGAAATTTTAAAATAAGTCCGCGAACACATTATGACTCAGCACAACACTCACGGATGACTATCTAAACATATAGTTTATAACTGGTCATATTAAAACTCTTATTTTGTATTTCTAAAACTATATAATATATATAATTACATCCCTTATACTATAATTATATCTCTAAATCTTTAAAATAAAAAAATATACAATTTAATAAAATATCCCACTCTCAAAATTCAAACAATAATGATGGAATACCTTACTGATGAGTTCAGTAATGGAAACCGGGACGAAACGCCAAATCGTGATATTCTTCGCAATCTTATTTTTCACAGATTTTAAATTCATCATTACTTTAAAATTTACATTGTTAAATTTTAATATATGTCTTTCAACATATTATTAAAGATCTAATAAGATGCTATATAAGCATCAAATAATTGTTAGATTTGTTTTGGCAATTTAACTAAAAAGTGATATTACTGCGGTAGTTATTTAGAGTTGCGTTGTAAGTCTGAAAAAAATTTCGGCACGCGATAGAGGAACTACACACGCGGTATATAAAATTCACACATAATTTTAATAAGCATTGTGATCCAGCTTTGCCCGTTATTGACTTTGACCATTAATCATTGCGGTTTCTTTCTTCTTGTTAATAATGATGGACAAATGGGAGCAACTATTCAACGCGATAACTCGTGCGTAATATAAATTCTATTTATATAATCTTACATTAATCAAGAAAATACGAACATTTCAGCTTCATTCCAGTTATCTTCAGCGCGAAATGAATTATTAATGTATAAATTAAACATATATCCATCACTTATTTTTAGTATTAATTGGCCAGTATTAATGTTAAATTTCTATAAGGGATAACATACATATTTAAACATTTTCTATTTTATATCATTTTATTTCATATCAAACTAACTTTATAATTACTTCAACAATGGATTCTCGATAAACAGAAAGCAATTGGTGGAAATAACAACATTGTGGAATTACGAGACAAAAGTTGGCAAGAGAAGGTTGTATAATTGAAGGAGAATAAGTTTTTGGAGGTATATTGAACGTAATACCAAAAACATTTTTATTGTACTTGTACCAAATCGATCCAGTAATACTCTCTTGTCAATTATATGAAAATATGTCTTGCCTGGATCAATAATTTATACGGATCAGTGGCGTGCATATAACGACTTTGATAATGATAATAATTAACTCATTATAAGGGAGAGGGGGGACACATTGTGACGAGGAGTTAGTAGTGACATTTTGAATATTTGTAATTTTCCTAGCTCCTTTAATATCGATCGTTAGCATGAAGAACATTCCGGATAACCTCGTTATGTTTTCAACAAATAATGACACGAGTGTAATATCATATGTTCATGATTAAGAGGCTTGGATTTTATCTCCTCACATTTTAAGGTAAAACCTGGATATTTATGTTGTGTTTGAAGCTATATTTTGATAGATGTTAGTGCACTGATGCGAATAAATATTTTCTTACTTATTATTGTCGTGGTTTTGGAACAATGTCAAACATCATTGTTATTTAACCTCATCTTTTATTTTACTCGGTTCTTGAAAGCAACAGTTGCCTCTGGGGTAGGTAATGACAACTTTAGAGAAGGTGTAATTAGTGACAAATTTTTTTGCACTTTTCTCATCATTAGATGGTGAAATACTAATGTAGCATTAGAAAAACGTTTACGAGACTCATATTCTATCATTGAGGGGGTTATGTTATGTTTGAATGACACTTTTCAAAAGACACAACATATTTAAAAATAATAAATAATTTTTTATTTTCTTAAATGTTCTAATTTTTTAGTTATAATAGAACACGTTTATTAAACTACCGCAATACAGATTTTTATTCATAGATTTTAATATGTCATTCAACATTATTAAGATCCAAAATGATATGAGCATCAAAATTGTTAAATTGATAGATAATTTAACTCGTAATATTATTATAGGTAGTTTCGCAGAGTGACGTTTCAAAACCGAAAAATTGTTCGGCGCGCGGTTTAAAAGATTACATACGTAATATATAAATTCACTCGGAATTATAATTGATACTTAAGATCCAACTCGACCATTAAAGGCATTTTCTTATTGTTTGTGTTTCTCACGTGTACGGTCCTATAAGATTTAATATTTAAAAAATTTAATAAAATTTTTATGAATTGTGTGCTATCTTCTGAAATAAAAAAGTGACTATTTTAAACAAAATAAGAAGGCAATAAGGAAAGAATGAGAACTTAAACAAGGAGTAAGTTTTAAAATGTCACTATCTGTCCCCTTGGTCTGGGGCACGTAGTGACAAATGGAACGTTTGTTTTAAATGCATAACAAGAACTTATACGTAAATTATTATGTATAAGAATTATATTTTTATAATTATTAAGATCTAAAGCATGAAATAAACTGAAAACAAGCTCACGTTAAGCTTAAACTAGATTATAGAATCCAAAAAAGAAAATCCGTCACTATATATGTTGTCCCCCTTTCTCTTACTGTAAATCATTTAATAAATTTTGTAAATCCTGATACTGGTACCCGTATTTAAAATATAGAGAGAGTATGGTGAAATATGCGAGCAAAAACATTCCTCGTTATGGAACACGTGAAAAGCATTATTATTATTATATGTATTACCTTGCTAAATTTTTATTTAAAATAATGTATAATTTTAACGAAAGAATTGAAATTATGAAATTCTTTTTTTGAAATTATGAGTGTGATGTATCCATTAGATGCTTTAAATATTGAATAAAATTGTGCCGAAATAAGACGTTATTTTATAAACTCCTTTCGTTAATATTGCTAATTTTTTATAACGAAGGATGAACGTCGGCTAAAATTTGTTAGAGGTCACTCAGAGTCATGATCTTGACAACATATGTCAAAGTCAAGATTATTGGTGCTTGGTCTCCTAATCGGTACTTTTACCAAAACATATTTTATACTTTGTTTGTAATAATATATTTTGAAATCATTACAATGTAAAATTTTCTGATTATAACTTTTAAAAATATTTTTAGAAAACGATATGTTTAATGTTCACTGACACTCTAAAAACTATTGGCATTTATGTAAATATTGCATCTTATATTATATATTGTATGCATTTTATTGCTTCGCAATATCTTCGCAAGACTGGAAAGACATAACATGCAAACCTCCATCTACAGGTATCGTCACCCCTGTTATAAAACTAGCATCGTCACTTGCTAGAAATGCAATGCTTTTTGCAATTTCCAAAGTGTCGCCGTTTCTTCCTAAAGCATGCGCTCCCTTCATCTTCTCAAAAAAGATTTTAATCTGTTCTTGGTTCATTCCAGTGTTCCGAAGGATATCGGTTATTACAGCGCCAGGATTTACGGAATTCACACGCACCTATCATATTTTGATAATAATAATATGTTGCGTTAAATAATATTTTTAATGCCATTGAAAACAAGAAAAAATCATTATTTTTACACGTACCTGTCGTGATGCCAATTCTAAAGCAACGCAACGCGTAAATTGATCCAGAGCCGCTTTACTCATACAATATGGCGTATTATTCTTAAATGGTCGTAATCCAGCTACGCTTGAAACATTTACGATGTTGCCTTTTGTTTTGATTAAATATGGCACTGCCAGTGTTGTCAATTGGAATACTGAGCGAACGTTTACGTTCATAATACTGGAAACAGGTTTAAATTGAAAATATTTTGATTTTGTGAAGAGAGAGAGTTAGGGTTGGATTATACTGGCCGTAATCTGTTAACTTATGCCGTAATCTGTAAAAATGGACCAATCACAGTCGAATGAGAGGGGAATAATCGATTATAATTGGTCAATTTATAGATTACGGCATAAGTTAATAGATTACGGCCAGTATAATCCAACCCTTAATGTATTTTCAAAATAGAAAATAGTTTCTCAATATCCACATGTTTGCACATACTGTCAACTTAATTATCACATTGTTATTCATCGATGAGTTTTCTGAACTTGTGCACATAGTGTCATGGTGAAATTAATCCATCGCACGTATAATGCAATAAATTGAAGTGAAATACACTCCATTTGTTTAATTTCAATAACTTATTGTGCCGTGTGCACCAGTTTGCAACTCGAGAGTGCAATTCAGAAAATTTATTCATACGGAACAGACGATATGATAAGTTGATAATGTATTAATATGTGTAAACATAAGGTATGTTATATATTGAAATGGAAGGAGCCAGCGCAGATGATCTCAACCTTAACATACACTACTCAACAAAATCTAGAAAACACTTTCGAACGTGATAAAAATTTGGCAATATTCAGAACATCGTAACTCGGTAAAAAATCATTGCAAACAAAAATTAAAAAAGTATTTTAAAGATAAAAAATTTTTACATTCGTAATCGGTAATTGATATTTCAATTTGACTGATCTTTGACGGAGCTATACGAACACAAATGGATATCTGTCAAATCTAAAAAATACCGTATAATTTTGTACAAATCTCTTTTCTAATATGTAGGAAAAACATTAAAAATAAATTTTCTGCATTAAAAATAATTTTCTTTGAAAAAGTTATTTTCTCATTTTAATTTTTATATAATAATTTTAATTTTTATAATAAATGCGCAAAGAGCGCATGACTTTCCACACAAAGCAACTCCTACCCCACTTCTCTCCTATTCTAAAATTATTTCAATAATCTGCAACAAAATTCTAATTGGCGGTCTTTATTCATTAAAAAATTATTAACAAATACAGTTGACAATGTGAGGGTATACATATCTAACCTTTTCCTTTCCTCTTAAAATGAAATAAAACAGACCAAATCTCTGCTTTAAAATACAAGTTCTCTGATTTACTTTATTTACTCCTCTCCGTCTTTCTTGGTATGGGGGAGGTGGTTTAGAACTTGCGTGTAATTGTACGCCCCGCAGAAGAAGAGGTAGGGTGAAAGTTGCTTAGCATAAAAAGTCGTACTCCCTAAGTTAGTTTATCTTATACCTTCACCTTGTTTTGAATCATCCGACTTTTCACACAAAGTAGTAAAACATTTATCAACTTTCATGTTAATACCTAACTTTTTAACGAACAACGAGCGATGACTAAAACCTGTCGATGATCACTCAGGGTCATGACCTTGACAACATATGTCAAGATTATCGAAGCTGACACCCTTCATCTCAATATTTACCCATTTAAATTTTTATTTCATACCTGTCGTACTGTTCCAAGCTTGTAGTTTCTATAGTACCAAATTCAATAATTGCAGCATTATTAATTAAAACATCTAATTTGCCATAGTGTTTGATCGTTGAGTCGATAATATTTTTCACATCGTTCTCATTGGCTAGATCTCCTATTACAATAAAAGGCTTAGGTTGTCCGCATTGTTCGGCTACTTTGTTTAAATTGTATTTATTACGTCCTGTTATCGATAACGATGCACCAAGCTGAGCCAGATAAATAGCTGTTTTAGCTCCAATTCCTGAACTGGCCCCTGTTATCAGTACAACTTTTCCCGTAAAAGACATCTAAAATACATAATATTTCTCAGACTGGATGCATATAGTATATATAATATAATTCACCGCTTATCAAGCGACAACTTATAGTAGAATGTTATTGATTCTTATATAAATCAAATCAATCACATTAAACAGTTACGTCGTATAATTTAAGACCATGAAACAAATTTAATGTTATTATTATATATATAACTAATGGTATTATATATTCGCATTTACAAATATAAAAATCAGTAAAAATATTTATTTTTAAAAATAAATTAGATTTTTTGAAAGGAAAAAAAGGATCGAGGTATTTAAAATTAAGGTACTGCGATTATCATTTCGAATTACGTAAAACAATGTGGTTTATATTACAAACAAATGTAAATACTTACTATAATAGTACAACGATGTTGAATAATGTTTATAACGCGAAACAATCTAAATAATTTCGAACGGTACAAAATACAATATCGCGCTTGTGATAACGAAATGCGATAGCGAAATGCAGTAATATGTTGATACTAAGCACACATTATCGCAAATGTGATTAAATTGACATCGCGATTTATATATTAGTACAATCCCTACTCATGTAGCTACTCAGGAATGGCGTAGAATTTGTACGTTGCGAAACGGTTTCTATGCTATTACGTTTTAAATGGTCTATATTTATACATAATTGATAAATAATTATAGTCCAATCCGAACGATAAATCATATTGGCCGGAACATGGCCGGAGACACTACCGCGTCTCCTGATTAATATAAAAATAACTTCAAAATGATTGTCAAAATTAAGTTACTTTTGCATCAATGACGATTCATTTTAATGTTCTTTTGACATTGTTGTTACTTATTCTCTTGAAAGATTTTCTCTTTTATAATTATACGTTATACATAATTATACGATAGATGTTTCGTATTATTCCTAGCATATCGTCATTATTTGCTATTCAAAAAAGACTTGACGAGTCCATCAAATATTCGTGACAATTCGGATGTATTCGGAATTATAGACGTCACCTATACCATAATCAGTTATTATTAACAGCCGGAAATCGCCGTGACTTCACTTCTCGATTGAAGTATTGAACACGAAATATTAAACATCGCCTCATCACGTAAGTTAAATAAATCTCAAGTTTTTATATAAACAACAAGCTTCAGTTAACTATATTTCACGTTTATCCGTTGACTCATTATTAAAAAACAGAGGTAAATACCTCGATTGTGAAGAAAATTCAAGATCTACATGCAATATACATATAACAATAGAAAACCTTAAGTTTTCTTTATTGAGAATAAATTAATTAGATTTTTTATTTATATTTTAATCGTTATCGGCGATACTGAAGGACTATATGATTATGGATCGCGGACAGTAAAATAATAAAATCTGCAGATAATCGCGCAGAAAACTCGTATTTATTTAGTCGACTGCTTACAGATTTAAGACCGCACGTGATGGAAAACAATGCTCTGTCTCGTCGTTGTCTCGCGGGTCGTCGCGTGACTAGTTTTCAGAAAATCTGTTTATGTACTTCTCGGTATCTAGATCCTTCGACATAATTTCGTTGCCTGCTCTAACGAACGCGATTTGCTATTTTTTTAATTTATCTGCAATGCGGCGTACTGTGCTTATATTGAGACTCACGATTACATCACGTTCAATCCTTCAATTGCATTGACGCCTGCATAACATTTGTTATGACGTGTCTTAATTGTCGAATTAATAATTACAAGTTAAATTATTTTGATGACTGTTACATTTAATTTCGGTACTCGATTACTATATGATTCGCGATTCACTTTTTTTTCCAACAGCTGAGTAGTTGCCTTCTATGTACAAATATAGAATCACAAATATTATTTATACATATTGTGTAATGTATAAATTTAATTCTCCGAATGCTTATGACTAATCGCATTTTATTGTGCTGCAGTTGATGTAGTGGTAATTCAGTCACCACAATATATATTTCTTCTCGATACATTTCATCAAACCAAAGAGAATAACTAAATTACTATAAAATTTCTTTCGTATTCCAATGATTGTATCCGCTTTCAATAAACTCAATGAGAAATAAATTCTCGACAAGCCAACCACAACAAATGAACGACTAAAAAAACCGCTTTAATAATATTAATTATTTTTTATTTTATTTTCGGATTATTTATTTTGATATTATCAGTATATTAATAAAACATATTTTTTCCATACATCCATACTTTAATTTGTAATAATACATTTTGTAATTATTACAATGTAAAATTACACTTTCTGATTTTAGCTTTAAAAAATATTTTTAAAAACTGTATGTTTCACGTCCACTTGAAAAATTATTTACATTTATTTAGATTTTGTGTTCTTCCAAATGTTTCGACCTATTTATAGCAATTATAGCATATATACTTTATTGCTCCGTAACATCTTCGAAAAGCTAGGAAGACATAAGAAGCAAACCTCCATCTACAGGTATCGTCACCCCTGTTATAAAACTAGCATCGTCACTTGCTAGAAATGCAATGCTTTTTGCAATTTCCAAAGTGTCGCCGGTTCTTCCTAAAGCATGCTTTTCCTTCATCTTCTCATAAAAGATTTTAATCTGTTCTTGGTTCATTCCAGTGTTCCGAAGGATATCTGTTATTACAGCGCCAGGATTTACGGAATTCACACGCACCTATCGTATTTTGATAATAATAATATAACGCGCTAAATAATATTTTTAATGCCATTGAAGAAAAGGAAAAATCATTATTTTTACACTTACCTGTTGTGATGCCAATTCTAAAGCAACGCAACGCGTAAATTGATCCAGAGCCGCTTTACTCATAGAATATGGCGTACTAGTCTTAGATGGTCGTAATCCAGCTACGCTTGAAATATTTACGATGTTGCCTTTCGTTTTGATTAAATATGGCACTGCCAGTGTTGTCAATTGAAATACCGAACGAACGTTTACGTTCATAATACTGAAAACAAATTTACGTTAATTGAAAACACGTTTTAATATCAATGTGTTTTCAAAGTAGAGAATATAATTTTTATCAACATCCATAAATGTTTATGCATATCAACAAGTTACTTATCAGTAAGTATACATACTTGTCGTATTGTTTCAAGCTTACGGTTTCTATAGTGCCAAATTCAGTAATTCCAGCGTTATTAATTAAAACGTCTAATTTACCATAGCGTTTGATTGTCGAATCGATAATATTTTTCACATCGTTCTCATTGGCTAGATCTCCCGTTACAATGAAAGGTTTAGGTTGTCCACATTGTTCGGCTACTTTGTTTAAATTGAGTTTATTACGTCCTGTTATCGATAACGATGCACCAAGCTGAGCCAGATAAATAGCTGTTTCAGCTCCAATTCCTGAACTAGCTCCCGTTATTAGAACAACTTTTCCTTTAAAAGACATCTAAAATAAATAACATTTTTTAGACTGGATGCATTCTGTAACGCATCGCTTATCACGCTGCTATAAAGTTAATTAAATCCAATTATTAAATATTAAAATACTACATCACGTCATTATATAAACAAACAATAATATTACCAATGTAATTATTATGTCCTTAATGAAATTATATGTATTTACATTTGCCAATATAAATCAGCAAAAATATAATTTTTGGAAAAAGATTAATTTTTTTGAAAAGAAGACAAAAAGAAATATGTAGAATTAAGACACCAGTTATTGTTTCGAATTACGTAAAACAATTCAATTTGTATTCAAATATATAAATACTTACTGCGGCAGTACAATAATATTGAATAATATCCACAAAACGGCAAAGCTTATAATCTTGAATGTATAAACATTTGTGATGGCGAAAATCCGTAACGCAATGGTATATATATATATATATATACTAATAATTATAACTCAAGCAGTTAAAAAAGTCGTATTAATATTAAAATGACCGTAATAATTGTAAAAATTAAGTTATTATTCGATCAATTACGATTTATTTAATGTCATTTTGATATAGTCCGCGTAATCAGTTTTGCTTGGAAGGTTTTCTCTTTTAATTATACGATATGTAATTACACGATAGAAAAGTTTGAGCTTCGTTGTTAGGAATAAATTACATTTTTATTTATTTCTTCTTGATATATTTCATCAAATCAAAGAATACAACAAATTATTATAAGAATTCTAAGGTAGTTAGATAGTATAAAAAGAGTGATTAGGTTTGTAAAATTTTAATCGGCTGTGATTAGGAATAGAGATAGAGATTTAATGATGATAATAATAATAATAATAATAATAATAGACAACAAGGGAATAATGCAAAGGAAGAGGTTTACGAGGATTGTGATGTCATAATCATGTATGTCAATAGGAAAGGTATGGATGAATGCGCGTGTTATAAGAAATATTGTACCAAGTCCCTTTCTTGGCTATATTTGTATGCTGAAGAGAATAAAATTCTATTCTATTCTATTATCTATAAGAATTCTGTTGCATGACTGAATCCGCTTTCAATAGAAAATAAAAGAAACCATTAGAAGACGACGTTTTTTGTAAAGCAAAAAATTACGTTAAATACAACTGTAAAAACGCTAAATGTAATTAAAATGATAAATTACGATAGAAATTTAAATGATAAAAGTGTTTTGATAATGATATTGCTTTCTATCGTTATCTTTAGTTGTTCAATTTTCTATATTTCTTTAATGTAAATTTTATTGGTTTAGAATTACATAATATCAAATTTTTAAACACATATTGCAACAAGATATTGTGAGATTTGTACACTAAGATTATGTTTACATGTCTCCATTAATCGGATTTAATAACATAAGCATGGGCGTCCACAAGGGAGTGCAAGAAAGGGCATTTATTGCAGCTTCCCTTGGTCGACAGATGTGCGCGCGCGTTGGATAAAGCCGTAGTGGTGAGATATCTTAACGTGCTTTCTCATGCTGACGCTGAATGAGTCAGCTTATTTTAAGTATAAAAATAGATTACGCAATCAAAATTGACGATAGTCGTCGTTATTATTTTTCCGATTTTAAACGGAGCCGTTACATAAATACTCAATTTCGCGGATATGTATAAGATTATCGTTTACCTTTTTTTCTCAACTGTTTGTCTGGTCTCAGATATATTCGTGAAACATCAATACAGATCCGATAGATTTCGCTTTAAATGTCTACTTTGCGGAAACTCGAATTAGCTGTGTATTCCACCAATTACGATATAATCATACTATATACCTTCTTGAAAATTACATGAAACATGTAAGTTTAAAAATATACATTTATGCAAAATATGCATTTTATGGAAAATATTTAGTTAAATCTTTTTGCATAAATATTCGCAGTCTAGTGATTATATTATACGTATAATGATATTACTATTAATATTACTATTATTATATTATTATTTATTATATTTTGAATCATGCCGTCTTGGAAAAAATTCTGTGGATGCGCATGAACATAAGTATAGTTATTTTGGTTGCTTTATTTTTTTCAGAAGAAAAAACTGATATTTTACGTTAGTATATTGAT